CATCTTTTGAAGTGCAGTTTTAAGAGGACTGCTCACTCTTCCAACAAACCTGGCATGTAACTGTTTTAGTGCTTAACACAAGAACACTTAATTAAGTCACTAGTCTGAAACAAGTTCCAGCACATTTTCTTGGACATGGGATGTAAATGTGGTGGGTACCAAAGCACCCAGGGAGAGCATACACATCAAAACAATTACATATTAAATGCATTAATTTATCACCTATCTGTCAGTATACAGAGACTGTTCCTGGGAGTGTTGACTCTCAACAACAAAAACATGTTTGCAAAGCTTGGTAATTGCTGTCTAGTCTACATTTTCAATTTATAGCAATGACAGTGCCCTATTTTCTCCAGAATGATTTTAAATTCAAAATACTTTTAACTCTGTAACATGAATAAAGACACAGCTCACTAGAGGTGGCAGCAAATTCTTTTTCCCTTTGGGAGAGTGGAGAGGCAGAAAAGCTCAACCTCTTTCACATGAAAAATCAGTAAATCAGGCCAAATTTAAGAGATTCTGCTTACAATGCCAGCAGAAAAAATGAGCTAAATTGATATCCAAAACATCTGGATGCAATGGCTAGCTAGAATTAAAAGCATCTTCAAGAAGAGAACAGCCAACAAAGCAACAGAGAGAGCTTTGCTACTGTCCCCTGTGTGGCAGAACCATAACATAAAAGATTTACATGTTTGTGTGGGTATTTTAAGCATTGTTTTAAAATTCTGTTAAACAAACAAGGCCATGCAACGCTCCTTAAAGTTTTAAAGACTTGCTTTCTCTAAGTGACACCAGAGATTTCCAGTCACAACCTTTTTTCCGCTGTATTTTTCTGGTTTTGCTCCTCCTGCCTGGAGCTCGCCCCTTGTTTTTTACCTTGGGCTGTGTCTTCAGGCTCTGCCTCCCCTGGCCACATCCAGCCTGACGTGCCCTGACCACTCCTGGGATGCAGAGCTGCTGCTCAGCACTCTCACATGAGGATGGAGGGACACAGCAGCAGCCTGTCCCAGGCCACACAGGAAGCTTTTTGGCAAAACAGTGAGCTGAACCTGTTTCCCAAGTCCCAGAGCAGCAACCTCACTATTGAACCACCTTTCTTCTACGTAAAATACCTGAAACTATTCAGATTTTAAGGCAAAGGCATATGTTCAAACCTGAAAACTGTTTAAACTGTTGAATGCCACAAATGTCTACCAGACCTGCAGCTCCCTGCTTGTGCAGATAACATCTGCTAAGAGTAAGTGGCTCATACAGTTCTGCACCAGAAAGCTTAATAAGTTCCTTCTCCAAGATTAAAGAAACACCTACACATTCTAGATGCTTCTGCAAGTCCCTGGAGGGAGAAAATGCTGCTTAGCGCTGAGACAATGAACCAGCTTCCTTCCTCAACAGCAACAAAACCCTGCTGCTTTACCTAGCACTGAGAGGAAAGTGATATTTATAGAACTGAGCCCTATACCAATACGTACCTAAATACACTGTTAGGGTACAGCATGCATCAAAATAACCTTAGACCTATATATTTTCAAAGTCCTAATTTGAAAGATTTCAAGAGCAGGGAAAAAATTTGAAGCAGCTCAGCCACATCCCTCCATTCCAATTCATTTCAGTGATTCTCTGCATTGAAGTGTAACTTCAAAACCTGAACCATTCTTGTCACTCACAGCTCTTCAGCAGGTGACTTTTCTGAAGCTGTTACATTATTTTCATATGTCAAGTAAGCTCACTAGGATTATGATATTTAGGTTTCTTATGTAATTTTATAAATTACTGACAGCAATGCTTCTAGCCACGTCTCATTGCCTTTAGTTTCAAAACCAAAAGAATACATGCACTGACTGTTGTGTTTCTTTATATATAATTTCCTGATGAATTCTTAAGCACTTGTTCCACGCTGTAAAAATGTTTTATGCTAAAGCCAGTTACCTAAATTCCCATTTTGGCACTGAAGTAACTTACTATTCTGTATTTTCATGCAATTATACAACTGCACAAAGGTTCACTTGGCTGCAAACCCCAGTAAGTATTTTCTGAGACTGTTCCTATTCTTCATAATTATCAGTGAAAAAGAAAACCCAGCCAAAACCCATCTTGCAAGACAGATAAATGCTCTCATATCACAAGCTATTGTTTGTCTAAACACTGATGCAGAGCTGGATACATGCAAAAGCACAGCACAGCATGCAAGGAGAATTCTCATTAGAACATGTACTCACTCCCCAACACTGCTGCTTTGCTGCACTTTGGAGAAACTGCATTTACCATGATAACTGTCAGCTTAAATAACCAGGAATAGTCAGTAATAAAGACATCGATGGAATTCTAAATCTACTAAAATAGATTAAGAATTTTGCAGGCCTGGCAGCTTGGGCTACATCCAACCCTGCACTGGAGAGTGTGTTACAAGCAGAGACCTGTTCTCATTTCAGTAATGTCCTCAAGTTCTTTCTAATCTGTTACAGTCAATAAAAACTGACTTCTGCACTTCCTCTCTTCTACACCAACTCTCTGACATGCTGTCAGCCCTTATTTGAGCTGAGATAGCTCTGCTGCCTTCTGGAACAAGCCCCAGCTACCTGCAAAAAATGTCTTTTCCTCCTGCACATGCCTTCTGTATTCCCCATGTGTGTTTCTGTCTGTCTTCTGTCACTCAGCTACTACTCCTGAGGAAAAATAAATACAGGAGGAGAGGAGGAGGAGGAGGAGGAGGGAAAGCATGAAGATGCTGCCTGCCTATTTTCTTTATAATTTTCACACTATTTTCTTTATATATAATATATATATCTTCTTTATATATAATATATATATCTTCTTTTCTGTTCTCTGATTTGTATGAAAGCATCTGCCCCCCTGAAACATCTCAGCACTGCACTACACCTGCCAGTGACCCACTGAGCATCTTCTGCTTTAATTTCACCCCTGAAATGCAGAGCTATGCAATGGAACATGAGGCCAAATGTAGCTTTAAAGCAGAGAAATAGCTCAAGGAAATAGATGCCTTTAGAATTTATGAATTTGGAATTAAATCTTCTACACTCACAAAATCAAATCACAACGTGATAAATGCAGGTAGAACTCAGTGAGTCACACAAAGGTTTGTATTTTATGCAAAGCTGACTCCAGCAGTGCAGCACCCAGTGATACCCAGGACACATCAAACCCCCAGGTATTATTTCTTGAATTATCAATTTCTGCATCAGTGCTTATCTATCCCTGAATTAAAAGACTCTCCTCTAAATATCAGCCAGGCCCAGCATCTCTCCCCACCACAAAGAGATTTCAGCCCACTTTGAACACTTCCTCATGTGACAAAGGGGAAAATTGCATTTCTACACTTCTGTGCTTCACAAACCTGACAGCTCCATGCATTGTTACTGCTCTGACTATCTCAACTAAAAATAACAAGTAGGAGGAAACAAGACTGAATGGACCTAAAATGCAAGTTCACTGTTCCATAAGGCAGAGTAACTCATGAGAGAGCAACCACTCCAAGTAATCACACACATTTTCAGCTCCTGCATCAAAATGAATAAATATAAAGCCCAAATATAAAAAATAAAAACAAAATAACAAAACAAAAGCAAAAAAATCCTGTTGCTTTGGTTTCAACAGTGAGAAGCCACTCCTCACATATCACAGGCCCCAAAACTGTAGGAGCAAATATGGCTCTGTCCTGCAGGGTCATGTATGGGATTGGGCAAGGAGAAGAGAAAATTTATCTTTATAGACATTACAGCCTCTGTCAGGAAAGCAAGGAATTTGTCAGAAGGCATCAAAGAAATTGATGCTGTTCAGCTTGCTCTATGCCTAGTAGTCTCTTTAAAAATACTCTGCTTTGAGAAGAAGGTGAAGCATGGAGAAATGGAGCTTTTAAGAATCTAAAAAGAATTTTTAAAAGATTCTACCTCTCAGCTTTACTCAGGTAACACCACTCTACTGATGCCTAATTCAGGTGCCCAGTGTAACAAGTAACTGTTCTGCTCCATTATAAGCACAACACACTGCTTAGTGAAAATCAGACATTTTTCCTACAGAAGGCCCCAAAGCAGCAGCCTGCCAGAGAGAAAACTGCTGTCCTCTCCATGCCACTTTGCAAACATTTGATGCAACAACACAATGCCTTTTACGAAGGTCAGGCATTAGTTCCTCCCAAGGGAGCTGCACAACACGCATAGAATTTAAGTGTGCACAACACACACATACAGAATTCCAGTCTGCACAACACATACAGAATTTAAGCCCGTGTTAAATTCAGCAGCATGTCAAATGCCTATCTGGAATTTTACAGGTGATAAAAACCGCGCATATACCAACAGTGGTTACAGTTTAACATTCATTTATAGTCAAGTTATCCATTTAGAGACACTTTGGCACAGCAAATAATCAGCCCCGGTTGCAGCTAACCCGGACCACGGCTCGGAGCGTGCCAGGAGCCTCCCCGCACATCCCTCTCCAAAGGCAAAGCCAAAACCCAACCGGGCACTGCCGCAGCCCTCCGAGCTCTGCCGGGCACACCGGGGCTGTCGGAACCCCCCGAGCTCTGCCGGGCACACCGGGCACTGCCCGCTGGCTGCCCCAGCCCCTCTGGGCACACCGGGCACTGCCCGCTGCCTGCCGCAGCCCCCCGAGCTCTGCCGGGGCTCCGGAGCTGCAGCGAGCCGCGCGGGCGGCCCGGAGCCCTCCCGCACCCGGCTGCGGGCTGTGCCCGGTACCACCGCTGCTGCCCGGCGTGCCCGCAGAGCCGAGCAGAACCGTGACGAGCAATGAGATCACCGCTCCTCTCACCTCCGGGGCCGTGCCAGCGCCCTGCCCGCGCCACCGGGGCAGCCCGCACCGCGGCGGAGCCCCCGCGCCGCCGAGCGCCTTCCAGGGAAAGCGGAAAGGAAAAAAGGAGGGAGAGGCGGCAGGACAGTGCCCTGCGCGGTCACACACCGGGCAGGCGCGGAAGGAAGGGCATCACCCGGGGCGGGACGAGCCCCACCCCGGGCCCAGGCACTTACTGGAGTGGTGGCAGTGCGGGAGCCCCGTGAGGAGAGCCGGGCGCTCCCCGGGCCCGCTCCCGGCCCCGCGCCCGCGCCCCGCACCGGGAACGGGCTGATCCCGCCGCCTCCGTCCGCGCCGCCTGCACCGCACTGCGCATGCGCCGCCGTGCTACCACCCGTGCCGCCCGCGGCCTGCTGGGACATGTAGTGCGGCGTGGGCAGGGGCGGGGCGGGGCGCGGGGCATGATGGGAATTGTAGTTCAATTACTGAGGGTTTAATCGCGTGTTTAATGGGGAGGCCGCAGCAGGGAGGGAAATGTTGTATACTGTGGATAAAGTCTTCCCTCTGAGAGTGGGCAGGCTTTGGCCCAGAGAAGCTGTGGCTGCTCCATCCTTGGAAGTATCCAAGGGCAGGTTGGACAAGGCCCTTGGACAAGGCTTGGAGCAGTCTGGGATAGTGGAAGGTGTCCCTGGCCATGGATGGGCTTTGAGCCTCTTCCTACCCAAACTGATTTGTGATCTATGATTCTATGAACTGCCATTCACCAGCCACAGCCACAGGATATCTAGCAGGCCAAGTGCCAGATTCTGCGCCTGGGATAGACCAGCCCTGGATGTCTGGACAGATTGTGGAATGACGCTGGAGAGCAAGGCCCTGGCAAAGGACTGGGGGGTCCTGGCTGGTGGCAAATTGAATATGAGGCAGCAGCACCCCTAGAACACTGTACAGTTGGCTTCCCTTACTCAAGGACATCCTGGAGCTAACAAGATTTAAGGATGTAGTAAATCAAGATGTTGATATATGTCTGTGTATACTTTGCTAACGTGGCAAAAAACTCAAGGTCTGTGTACCCCACAGCTGAACTATCTTCACCTCAGGTGCTGCCTCCCAGCCTTTTGCCATCATTCTTAGCAGCAAATGACAATTTCCCCAAATGACGCTTAACCAGTTTTACCAGAAAGTTACTTCTTTTCTAAGCAGATAATAAATTTATACTGAAAAACTTTGTGTTTTCTGAAATAGCAACGCAGATTATTTTTTTTTCCTTGCTTAAAGCAGTGATATCTCTAATTATGGAAATCATTTGAACTCTGCCGCTGCCTGTAAATGCATCTTTGTTTCAAGCTGGCATGTAACAACCCCACTTCACAGCGAGACAAAAGCTGTAATCAGAGCACAACAATAAAAGCTCAAGTCAGCCACAAACAATGCTGCACCATCCCCATGGCAACTTTTCCCTATCAAACCCCGGGGAGGTCACACACTCTGCAGCTGCACCAGCCAGAAGCTGTTCAGTTTGGACTTCATTCACGATTATTCCTACATTTTTTGGGTCGTTTTTCACTTAACAGTGTTTTACTGGAGTTAATACAAGACAGTTAGCAGTGGGCAGCACCATGTCTCTCCCCCACTAGAGTTCCAAAATGACATTTCTCATCCTGACAGAGCTGTGGCAGCTATTAAATGACTGCAGGATCTGTCCTGCCATCACACTGCACGTGGAAGAGCCTTTTACAAAATTGTACACAATTTCTGGACTCAAAAATCCATGCAGTCAAAAGCCATTCCACAGCACATGGAAACTACAGCAGCCTGCAGTCTGATATGCCTTAACTTGCAAATATTTTCTCCAGCCTCCCACACAAGGTTTGAATAACCATGGATTCTGACATGAGCACCCAGGAAAGGCTAAAAAGATGGTTGCATTTAAAAGAAGGAATGTATTTTATTGGAGTTTGGTAGCAAACCTCATATTGTACTGTACCATAGATTCTATCATGGAATACTGCTGTAACTTTGCTTTTAGGATGGCCTAATTCTCCCAATTAGTTGAGGAGACAATCAGGTATATAAAGAACTATTTTTACTTAAGCTGAGACACAAACACTTTAAAATCGCCACATTCTGTCAGCTGTGCTGTTCACACAAGTATTTTCCTGAAATTCACATGTGGAAAACCCAAAGATGAAACGTTGTGAATCTTTGATGTCCAAGACATAAATACAGTTATCCCTAATGCCCCAACTTAAAGCAAAACTTGCTTTCAGTAGAAAGCTTCTAATAGTTCTGGTGTTATGAACTGTAGTGGTGCAGAGGCCACTTAAAGCTCAGCTGAGCTCCCTGGCTTTGAAACAACTCAATATTTTTGTATTCCTCTCTGTGGAATGTGCAAATGCAACAGTTGAAAGTGGTTGTGATGACAAACTGGTAAACTTTGGGTGAGAGGTGACTAGGTGGGCCCAGGGACTCTCCTGCTCTGCACTGCAAAGTCAGCACACACAGATTACAAAGGACAGAATCTATATTTTACCCCCTGTCTAAAAATATTCAAGCACAAGGTCTGCACTGGCTTCTTCTCCATGCAATGCCACTTGACTTCAGTGTAGAAGTTGGTTCAGAGCCCAGGATATTCCAGCAGAACTATGAGACAGACACTTATTTCCTCTCCAGTTGTCTCTATTCATAGTTTTCAAATGCTGGCAGGTATCCCCACAAAAGTCTTCATGGCTGGCAAAAAAATGTTGGCAGAACCCTGCTGTGCCAGTCCTTTACTCAGAACCGGCTTGTGATTCTCCTCACTGAAACTGGTTTGGACATCAATTCCTGCTGGGATTTCAGTTACTCAGAATACAGATTATAATAAATAACATTTGGTGAGTGACCTGCAGCAATATGCACCATCAAGAGCAAGTGTTTATTTCACAAGGTGTAGAAACTCCCAGAGGAACAGCAGTACCTGGGGAGCAGCATGTATCTATCCATATAAATGCAAACACACAAATAGAAATATGCAGATCACATACATATCTTGTAAATATAAATACACAACTTGCAGGTCTTGACAAAGAGGCAGAAATATCCAAAAATTCCAAAATACAACTTTCTAATTGTACTTTCATGATGGATAATTTTACCCAGCAGAGGAAGTTCAGCAACTTCATAGATATGCAGAAATAAAGAGCTATGAACAAAACCTCACTTCATTGCTCTAAAGAAATGAATTCGGCCTGGGACAAAAAGGTTTTGTGAAAACTAACAGTTATGTTGCCGTGGAAAACAGGAAAAAAGCCTGGCCAGTGAATTACTGAGTGCAGAGCAAAATGCTGTCACTATATTCTGTTTTTATGGGTTCAATATTGCAAATTCCATCCACATGCAGTATGCCTCCTGTACACTATTTTAAGAGGGGTGTTGCTGACCTCAATGGGGCTGCTTTTCATAGAGGCTGTGGCCAGGCAAGGTCATTACTCTGCTGACACCTTCAGTGTTAGCATCCAAGGAAAGCTTTCCAGTCATTAAACTCCATCCCAGAGGATGAATGTCTGAGTTTACTGCAGTGGCATGGGGCTAATTAGGTGGTATTTATTATCTAATTAAATTATTTGCCATAATGGAGGGAGAGAGGCCAAAAATTCTCCAAGGCTGTAGCCAGAGTGACCTGGGGAAGAACAACCCTTGCTCTTTCAGGGTTTCAAGTTCTGAGCAAGGCAATCTCTGAGAAATGAGGTTGTCCTGTCCACCTCAGGAGTAAACCCTTGTTTATGGCCAATTTCTGAATCTGGAGAAGGTGCCACTGATTCCTGAGGCAGCCTAACAGGTGATGAAGGAAAACCATCCTCTCCAGGCCTGCAGGTAACCAGCTGAAGCCCTGCAGAAGGTTTCCCTGCAGTCAGAGCCTTTCAGCAGAGCTCTGCATGTCGTGGGCACCTCGAGGGCAGCGCAGACAAAACCTCCCCGTGCCTCCCATGGGAGGAAAGGAGCAGCAGCTTCAAAATCCCTGCACGTAGGAGCAGATAGTCTCATTCAAAAGCTGCTTTAAAGCATATCTGCAATATGCATTTTAAGGCTAAAACTTCATCTCTTCTGATGAAATGATGTTGGCAGAGCTTGGGAATTTAATCTCACGTGGAGGTTGAATTCGTTCAGCTGCCAGTTGCTGGGTCTTGTTATTAATTTGATGTTGAAGTAGAAAAGCATCCTGATGTAGCTGCTGTGGATAAGCACTGGTACACAGTGATGAAGTAATTTCCCAGCCTTTTAAATACTCTGTTTCCCTGAAAGCCATATTTAAACACTTGGAGTTCGTTAGGAGTTTAATATTCTTATGTTGCAGTTGTTTTCCTCATTCCTATGTGCATAGCATTACACTAAAATACATATGGTGATTCCTCATTTTCCACCAAAGAGTGAATTTTTATTTTGCTTCCATCTATCCAGATATAAAATTTATTAGCAAAAAAAAAAAAAAAACAACAAAACCCTTCTTTCCTCTTTTGTCTATTTTAACCTAAAACCATTCCACATTAAAAAAAAAAGGTGAATTGTCTTTAAAATACTGTGTTTCTGCAATAAAAAGATTGAAAGGCTTTCATTTCGTTTCAAAGCTTAAAAGATGAGAGCTTAATCTTCTTCAGCAAAGGGCGTATTCTGCTCTGCAATGTATGCAAAGCGCCCGGGGGGCTTTCAGCTCACCCTGCTGCTGCAGTCAGGTCAGGACAGTGCCTTGCTGCTGTCATGGGGCAGGGTGGGAGGCAGAGGCTCCCTATTTTCTGTGTTTTATTTGTTTAATATTTCACTATGCACCGTGTTACAGAGGTAATTTACATTTATATTAGCCGCTACAGTGCAGAGTAAAGCTGGGGGTTGAAGCTGCTCTCATTTGTGCTTTTACCAGGAGCTATAATGTTATACTTTGCTGCAAGTCCCAGCCCTCAAAGGGCTGGAGATGGTACTGGCTGTGCCTTTTAAATTATTATAAGCCATGATTTGAGTTGTATTTCACAGGAGCTACTACAGCAGGAACAAGCTGAAGCAGGGGAGGGGAGGCAGTTGCAGGGCAGCAGTGACCTGGCCTGAGCTGGCTTTGGGGGATAGGAGCTCCCTGCAGCCTCTGCTGTCCTCAGAAGGGATGGAGCCCAAAGTCCTGCCCTAAATCAATTCAACAGACATGTTTTTACCCTTTGGATTCCTTCCCCTGTCTCTCTGGTGGGGAGTGAGCTGTGTGAGGCTTGGTTGGTGGCAGGGGTTAAACCACGACAGAGTGAAAGGAAGAAAAATTTTATTGAGTTATAGCAAGATCCCAGATATCCCAAAGATCCCTGCCCTTGGCACACCCTTCTGGCTTAGCTGTGG